GGGGGGGGGGGGGGTTGCCTGTAACTTCCTCTCTCTCGCTCTTTTGGTTTTTATTTTTGGATAATTGTCTAACATAGTTTCTTTTAGACTTAATAATTGTTTTGTGTAAGCTTACGGTTTTGCCTCTCTACTCCTCCGAAGTAGGGGTAAGGTCTGCGTACACACTACCCTCTCCAGACCCCACCTGCGGGATCACACTTTGTTGTTGTTGTTGTTGTAATCTTACGGTTTTATGAGTTATGCACCTCAGTGACATGTATACCTGAGGTAAAGGTGACTAATAGCAACTTTTGACAACTCAGAAGCAATCTGAAGGTCAGTTATAGGGAGGGATCAACCCCACTCTACTGTTTTTTGAAGTTTCAGTATTAGGTAGAAAGGGTTTTGCACAGATCTAAAGTACAAGATGAAGAAGAAGCTTATATTGCTTGGATACATGATAGAGGAGAGGAAAAACAATTGGCTGGTGCACCAAAGCTCTATTGGTGTACAACTGCTGTTTCTCGTTTTAGCTACAAGTGAATTTCTTTGGTTTGCTTGCTTTTATAATTGACAATATGAGATGCCGAAGTGTTATAAAAGCCACTTAAATGTGTTAGGTGGGGATCCTCATTGAGGAAGGTGATAAAGCAGAGTGGTCAATGTATAAATGTACATTGTAATCTTGCTTTATTTTAGTCGCAAAACATTTATGGGGCCTTTATCTGATGTTATGTTTCTCATTTTTTCTTCTATTTGACTGGATAGGCAATGTTGAGATCAATCTGCTTGATCCAGTGACTCTTGGTTTTCTGTCAATAGCTTTTAGCGAGTATGAATACACAGAGTCATTTTGGTGACACATCATTATTTTATTTCCCATAGGTTGCCGCATATTCAGATGGCCAGGTAAAAGTGTTTGAGCTCCTAGATCCATTTGAATTGAAGAACTGGCAGCTACAGGTACATTATCATCTATGCCTGCTTTCCTTTCCAGAAAAGAATTTGTTCTAACCAAACTCTGAAAAATACGGCAATCACCTTTCATGTTGTTATTTGGTCACATATCAGCATTCTCTTCCTAGTCATGGTTTTGATCATGCTCTCAAACAAATGATCTTTGTTTAATTTTGGATTGAGAGCTCCAACCGAATCAGAGGAATTGTGTTATTCTGCTTATTTTTGGCAATTGTACAAATTCCAAATTCTACTGGTGGTTCTTTGGCACCAAAGCTTGGTGTGCCCTATCGTTGTGTGATTTGCTGGTCACCAACCATTACCGTAATGTGTATTATAATAATATCCTCTGCAAGCTCCCCATGTCTTTGCTCTTTTCTTCATGGTGTACTTACTTAATTCTTAATTTCTGTTACCTTCTTGAGCTGGTTATCTTACATAGGTAGCATTGTAAGCTCTTTTGACTACATCTTGTAGATGACACATTATGTATGTGACTGAAAATTGCAGAGGCTAACTTTTAGTCCTCTTTCTGTAGGCTGAATTTCAGAATGTCATTGAATCTGTATCTAAATTTGGAAACGTCTCATGCCAATCTGCTTCTATTGCTTGGAATCCTTTAAAAGGAGAAATTCAGCAATCAAGCTTTGTTTTGGGTTTTAATTCCGACATGCCACAAATGAACTCCTCCAAGGTATGGCGAGTTCCTTTCTTTATGTTACTTTAAGGGTTGCTTTCTAAAATCCTTAATTGGTTCTATTTACAAAGTTTTTCTTCATTAGTTAAAACTTGGCAGTGCATTTATTGCATTCTGATTCTTGTTGATTATGAGTAAAGGTTAAGCTATTTTTTTTATGAAAGAGTAAAGCTAGTTACACAACTTATATGTAAATTATTGAGCATTCACAAAGTCGGAAGAGGCAATTCTTGAAATCTTAAGCTGCTATCATGCACTATGGTCTTAAAAAGCTGCTAGTATACTTGGTCTCTGGTGGAACATATGTAATGTTATCATATCATAGATTTCTACAGGTTTGGGAATTCGATCAGGATCATCAGAGATGGCTTCCAGTTGCGGAATTAGCTTTACCTGCAGATAAAGGTGATCCAGTCTCTACTGTTGCATGGGCGCCGAATATTGGAAGGTTCGCTCTTGAAAACATCCTCTTTAGTCATTTATAGAGCATATATGAGCGTCAGCAGTGGTATTAGGGAGTTCAAAAAAGATGTTCCTGTAGTCTTTCATTTTTGGCCAAGGAGATTTCTAGCCTGAAAGATCCACCATTAATCAGGTCGAGTAAGGCATTTCCATTGTACATACCGTACTTAACCAATGGGCAGATGTCTGTGCACATTTAAGGCATATACGATGCAGATACTGTATCTTAATAATTGAATAATTATGACTTCCTCAGAGCTATTTAGTTGAGTGTACAATGTCTGCTTCTTTTTGTTTGTTATAAAAATGCAGATGCTGTACACTCAAGTAAACAGTTGGCTGAGAGGAAGTTATAATCGTTCCATGATTAAGAGGCTTAAAATTGCTCAGTGCTGGAATTCACGGGTGGTTTCTGAAGTCCTGCAAATCAAAGAAAAAAAATTTATCTGTTCAGTTTGTTGGATGCGCTTTCTAACTTAAAAGCTTCCTTTTTCAGGCCGTACGAGTTAATAGCAATTTCTACTTCCAAGGAAATTGCCATATGGCATGTTGGATCAAATCCTGACCCCGGTGGAAGGCTCTCGGTGGAGAAGGTTGCCACGCTCTCTACTCATGACAGCGAGGTACCTGGTGCTACACTCTTTAGTTTAGCTGTTCCTTTGTAAATCAATTATGTCTTAACCTCAATTTAGTAGAGTCACTTGTAGTTTTCTATTCTGAGTTTTTTCTAAAGGGTAAGCTTTGACTAGCAAGCGACTAATTTACACATTTTATTTTTACCATATTTGATTTTTTGTCATGCAGGTATGGCAGATGGAATGGGACATGAGCGGGATGACACTTGCTACTACTGGGAGTGATGATGTAGTTCGCTTGTGGCAGTCCGACTTGAATGGGGTTTGGCATGAACAAGCGGTATTAGAGCCCACTAGCTAGGCTGCTTATGTGATTTTCACATTCAAACTTGAACAAGAGGCTCTAACCAGTTAAACACAAGATTCTCTGGTGATTATCGACGTTACCAATTTGCCATCAGGCATATCATTTTGTAAAGCTAAGTGAGTCCCTGCTTTGACTGTTTCTGTGGGTGGATAGCATAGTCTTCAACTCTTGCATTGTAAGTGGTTTTCCAGAGATTGTGGCAAGTGGGGATATGGAAATTCCCAATATGACTATGTTCATCTAACATCATGAACTTGTTTGAGCCCATTGTTTTAGTATGGGAAATTGGCATACAGGAGTATTTACTACTATTCTTATTAATATCCTATGTCCTTGTTTGTCTGGTCGCACCTGACTGATGTCCAAGCTAAAATTAAGCTACTCTGCACTATGCAATCTTTATACTTAGTTTCTTTCTGCAAAAATAACCGAGAATTACTGCAAAAAAGTGAAACAAAGCAGAACTCAAGAAAACCAACAACAACAAAAAAAAAAAGAGAAAGAAGAAAGAAAAGAAGCAAGAAAGAAGAGTACCAAAGTGCAACTGAAAAACTGTTGTTAGTTTCCCTTGATAGATGCTTAATTAAAACTATATGCAGTTAATTAATCAATTGATTGATCAACCAGACTTTAATCTTAGATTAGTTTACTGTTGTCTTTGAATACGAAGGAGTGGTCATTTGCCTGTTAATGGGAGGGAGAAGAAATAATGTTGGTGGGCTTCAGCAATTGGATAGTTGCCCATCTGAAGTGCCATGTTTTTTCTCCGGGGCTGATCCAGGATTTAAACTTAATAGGTTTAATTTTGCACTAAACTAATTGTATCGTTAAATTTTGGGTTCATATCTAACATTTTGTTTTAAATCTTTCTTTATCCTTCTTTAAATCTTTTGTTAGACAGTTTTATTCTACTTGGTGTCAAACTCAATTCTTATTTGCAAATATAAGCAACAACAACAACAATATACCCAGTATTATCCCACATCGTGGGGTCGGGGAGGGTAGTGGGTACGCAGACCTTACCCCTACTTTGTGAAGGTAGAGGGGCTGTTTCCTATTTGCAAATATAGGAAAGTTCCAAGTGTCTTTTGCAAGCTTGATTAAATTGATGAATGTTCAAGTGTCTTCTGCAAGAATGTGCTTGAGTTTCAGTCAGTAGCTTGATGTTAGATGACTGGAAGTGCAAAAATACTAAGCAATATTGATACAAATACTATAGCTTGTTACTACCCTTGGCCAGCTTTCTTGTTAATTTATACAAACACTTCTATACTACTACTTCCAAAAGGAAGAAATCATCAACCTTAATTAGTTGATTTAGTGATCAAAAACCCAACTTTTCCTCTTTATTGTTCCTTTTTGACAGTACTATTTTGAGCTTATCTGAAAAATTCTGAGTTATCAAATGGGAAATTTGGATCTAACTCCACATGTTCAAGTGGAAACTCCAAACCTACAATTGGAGAGCTTGTTGATGAAGTGTTGGCAGAGAATAAATCAGGAAGATCTGATTCTGAATGGTGTAAGCTGTGAATTCGTCGCGAACCATTCATTTGGCAGCTAGGTAATGAGAAGTAGCTTGATTCTGGGGTTGTAGGAGAGACAAATGATGGTGAATAACCTCCTACCAAATTGTCATCAACTTGTGACACTTGAAAATGCAGATTTCCGTCTACGAAACCAGAGAATGTAGGTGAAAATGGGAAAGAACATGTTGTCTCTTTCTTGTTCAAGTCATTAGTATTCACTCTCAAACTTGCTTGTAAGTTCGTGAGCATCTGGTTCGATTGTACTATTTTGGGATTGTTGGCTTGTTTCTTGAATTCATGTTTCTCTGGTGATGTTGGTTGTGCAGCAGAGTTAAATGCTTGGTTACAAGTATGTGAACCTTTGTATGTGATCTCAAATAGTGCAGGATCATCATCAGATCTCTGCACTTGCTTTGTTGCCCAGCAGTTTTGCACTAAACGATATGTGCATCTGTAGTAACTCCTGCAAACATGAAATCTTGTCATTAGTACAAAGGACATTAAAAGGGCAGCCTGGTGCACTAAGCTCCCGTTATGGGCGGGGTCCGGGGAAGGGCCGGACCATAAGGGTCTATACGTAGCCTTACACTGCATTTCTGCAAGATGCTGTTTCCACGGTTCGAACTCGTGACCTCCTGGTCACATGACATCAACTTTACCAGTTACGCCAAAGTTACCATACGTTAGTACATAGGACATTATTTCTCTTAAATTTTGAGCTATTAAAAGAATTGAGCCGTCAAAATGGACTTGGCCCATCAACCTAAACAGCCCAGCTCGTTACTTGAGTAGAGTTGAACTCATATAAATATGAGGCTAATATGACCAACCCATATCAGCTCGCCGACCCTTTAGGCTTTGTTGGGCTGGACTGGTATTTTAAGTACCCTTTTAAATGAAGGGCCGGCCCGAGATCGAATTCCATAACCCGTGTGGGCTGGGTTGAGTTGGACGATTCCGTTTTGACAGCTCAACAGGAGAGAATTACTAAAAGGGTACAAGAAATTTTGAAATTTTGAGTTAAATTTTTCCTTTTTTTATCTGTAATGTTAAAATAATTGGTACCCTTTTTAGTAAATTTTTGAGTTCTATGACTTTGCATAAAGAAACTGACTTATCACCTGGGATATTTAGCACCAAGAATGTCTTTTTGTCCATACTTTCTCCAACTATATCCATCATCAGTAGGCCCTTCATATCCATTCTCTGCACTAACTCTGACTTGTTCAGTCCATGTTGGCAACTGTTTTCTACAATAACCAATAAAACCAAGTCAATTTAGCTTGAAAAAAATGAACTAATCATCACATTTTGTAACTAATTTTTGAATACAAAACATAATTCAAGTCCAACCTCTTCTTTGAAACATATCTTAGGTCCTGATCATTATCTTTGAAATTTCCATTCAAGTCAACAGTTTTAGGACTAATTTTATCAACAGAAATAGAAGTTGGAGCTACTACAATTTGTGGGGTTTGTGTTATTGAATCAGTCCATTTGAGAATTGATAGAGAATTCTCAAAAGAAGAAAGAATAATTTGCATATGCAAATGCAATTCTTGAATATTATCAGAAGAAGTTGTAGAGCTGAAATAAGCTCTTAGTTGTTTTGCATGTTCCATCCCTTGTGTTAATTCATTGATTAATGAATTGTATTCCCAATTGAAACCACAATCCATTTTCTTGTTTTCTTGAGTTAAATTCAGTAAAAACACAATCTTGAAAAAATGCAGGGGAAAATCAGGTGTTTATGGTTACATAAAATAAATGTAGTGAATATTAGAAGTTTCTGAAAATATTTTGTGAAGTTTGGTGCATGAAATTTTGGAAAAATGATGATGAAAGTAGAGAGTAGAAGAAGCTTATATTTAAAAGGGAAGGTGAAAGGAAAAAGGCAATGTGGAAAAATATACTCAAAAAGGGAATGGTGAAGTGGAATATAGTCTGAAAGTTGACTGTGGAAAACGAGTTTTTCTTAGTAGACCAGTCTTTGGTCATAATCTTTTTTCAAGTGAAAAAAGATTTAGGAATAAGGTCCAAATGCTGACCAATTCAAACTTCCAATACCCCTACCCCCCCCCCCCACCCCCACACACACAAAAAAAAACAAAAAAACAAAACACTAATAACAAATAAATCACTTTCTCCAATCTTTCAACTTTTTTTTATTTCTTTCTTTTTCATAATCTCCACGTCCACATAAAATAGGTGAGTTATTATCTTCAACTTCTAAGTAGGGAAAATGGTGTCATGTTAGTGTTATATGAGACAGTAGTCACAGTACAATATTATAAATTGAATTACTATTAAGGGTGTGTTTTCCAATTTTCCCATATTTGGTTGGCTTAAATATTTTGGAAAATATTTTCCTCATGAACTCATTTTCCTCCAAATAGAGGAAAATATTTTCCTTATAAAGAGAAGGGAAAACATTTTCCAAAACTTCTTCTCGACCTTCCCTACCCTCACCCCCACCCCACACCCCCAACACCCCCTCCCCCCATACAGCAATTTTTTTTTGCCTTAATATTTTTTTTATATTTTAAATTTCTGTTTTTCCGTTTTTCTGCACCACCCACCATCCACCCCACCC